TATGCACCCCTCAAAGGCCAGCTTACATAGCTCCTCTATGACTCCTCCCCCTGTGTGCTCTGAGCCTGTCCTACATCCATCTGTAACACCGCTCTCCATGTCATAGTAGAATTATCTGTTCAATGTCGCAGTCCCCTGTAGATTGCAGGAACTAGGTCTTTCTACCTCTGTAACCCCAGCCTCATACAGAGCCTGGTACCTACTAGTTATGTGACTAAAAAGTGAGAAGGGGACGCATAGTCACTACTCTGTGTTGTGGGCAAGTCATTGGCTTCAAGAGTCACAGCAGCTAATACATTTGAAGTGCTCCCAGGCACTGAGCTTCGTATACAGCGGCGCCTTTAGCCCACCGCAGCCCTGTGAAGTTATTCTGTAGTTTCGCCCATCTTGTAGCCGAGGAAATGAAACTCAAAGGAATTACACCGAAAAGTGTGACACAGAGCTGGGATTTGAACCCACGCACCTGGCACTGTGATCCTGACCACAATTTCGTTGTCCTCATCTGGAAAACAGATAATACACTTCATACGAGCCTTGAAGGTACAGTATCATGACTTATGGGAAGCACTTAGCACAGTACCCGGGTAGCCTCCATAACCTTTAGTTTTTATTAGTAAGGATGTCCCCAAGGCCCCCCATCTGGCAAGAGGCAGAGGAGACATTTGAACCCAGGTCTTCCTGACAAGAGAGCCCTGTTGTTAACTCTTATTCTCGTGGGCCAGCCCAGGGTGACCAAGCCTTGAAAAGAAAACACCCCCCTTGTGTTGTCAGCCCAGGCTCCATTGGGGTGGGGTAGGGGGCCCTCTGGAGCAGCTGTGGAAGGTAGAGACTGAGCCTCTGCACGCATCACTGCAGAACTTGAGACCATAATGTGGAAATTGGTGAGCTGCTTGGTGGCTTAGTCAGGACCCCACCAAGCAAACATTAGGAGGTTACTGGCATGCCCATAGGCTCCAGCGCGAATTACTCATTTCCCCCAAGGAGAAGGAGCCCTAGTGCTGGCGCTAGAGGTTCCAGTCCCTGGATCTGCTGCTTCCTTTCCTTGTGACCTCACACAAACCCTTTGATCTGTACCCAGTGGGAGCCTCACTGAAGCTCCAAAGACGGGGTGTGGCCGTGGCTCCCCGGCCCCTATCCCCACCGTCAGGAACACAAGCCTTCTTAGCCCTCCTGGACCAGGGCTGGTGATTCACATGGACACACACCAGGGACTGCCTCACCTGTAAATTATGCTTTCCTGAGGGATTGACTAGAGGAAGGCAGTCTATATTCATATAACCTGTAGCCAGGTCCTACACAAATCTGGGTCAAACCAAAATTATAGGGGGTGCCTGGGTGGCTCAGTTGGTTGGGCAACTGCCTTTGGCTCAGGTCATGATCCTGGAGTCCCAGGATCGAGTCCCACATCGGGCTCTCTGCTTGCCAGGGAAGCTGTTTCTCCCACTGACCTCTCTCCTCTCATACTCTCTCTCTCTCTCTCTCTCAAATAAATAAATAAAATATTTTTTTAAAAAACCAAAATTATATTTTTCATTGAAAATACAAGAGTTATTTAAAAACAGAGAGAGAGCGTTTTGTAAATGAGACCATTAGAATCAGTAGGTAATAATTTAGAAATAAATACTTTACATTATTAGATTCTTGAGTGCAAGCCTGGTCATAGTGACAGCTGTCTCCATTGCTGCACAATCTTCTAACGAGACGACATAAAACAGAATTTATTTTTGAGACTGTTACAAAAATTATATGTGGTCGGATATGTGTTTTTACAAATGCCTGGGAAAAGATGTAAATTCCCCATTTCCTCACCATTTCTCCCCCCTCCGCAGTCCCCTCCCCCACCAGTCTCACACAGGGTGAATGAAATAGATTTGCAGCCAAGCTGGGTCACAGATCAGTTGCATTCAACTCTGCTGCTCTTTAGCTCTCTGCGCATTTGCAAAGGCAGGGATCTGATTCATCTTGCCCTTCCTCTCCTCTGGGCCTGAACAAAACCTGAATTCCCAGCAGCACCTGACAGGCCTAGGTAACATACCCAGACCCATCTCTCCAGGGCCCTGCCACCATCATTTTTGACAGAACCACGGCATGCTCGGGTGTTAGCGGGTTGGATGCTGAACCGTGTCTCCGCACTCGTCTGCAGACCGCTCCCCGGGTCCTGCCCACACCTCTGCAGGGAGCCGAGGGTGTGAACACGGGGGACTCGTCTGCATGCCTGGGTGCGTGCGATCGCCCCACTGTTGTGTGTTGTTTGTCCAGCAGGAAAAATCCAGCGGGGAGATGAATGCTAAAATGAGTTTGTTTGTCCTTTGGCAAGATCCCCGCCATTGAAAAGTTTTAGTTGACATGGCTGGGTGGGTTTTACTAAAATCAAAATTAACTGCCTTGTTTAATGGGGCAGCACATTGTGTTGTGAAGAGCTTCCCCTGAATTCTCCTTGAAAGGACATGTGAGCCAGAAAGTCTAGCCTCTAGCAAAGTCACTGTGTTTTGATGTAGGTGAGTTGTTTGTTTTTGTTTTTGTTTTTGTTTTTTTCTCCTGGCGCTGGCTGGAGGATGTGTACATGGAGATTACCCCTGGACCCTAGGTTACACTGAGAGGCTGAGTGGTTGGATGGACCGGTGGATGGGTAGACTGGCAGATCAACAGTTCAGTTTGCCTTTCCATAGATCTTAGATGGCATGTTTGCTGACATTTAAGAGGAAGGAAAACGCGGGACTCCTGGCTGGCTCAGTAGGTGGTGCATGCAACTCTTGATCTCAGGGTTGTGAGTTCGAGCCCCACGCTGGAGGTAGAAACTACCAAAAAAAAAAAAAATCTTCCAAAAGAAAAAGAATTGTTTGTTTGTTTTTAAGAGGAAGGGGCATCTGGCTGGCTCATTCAGTGGGGGATATGACTCTTTATCTTGAGGTTGTGAGTTTGACCCCCATGTTGGGTGTAGCGATTACCTAAAAAATAAAATCTTTTTAAAAATAAAATAAAATAAAAAGAGGAAAGCAAACCTGCAATTGGTGTCCTCCCAAAAGGTTTTTGCTAAACTCCATCCTATGGCTGTGTCTTTGGTCTTCATGCAGTAAAAACAACTTGTCTTGAGTGCTAAGTATGTGTTAGGCACATGGGATATAGAGTTCAACAAAGTACAAATAGTCCCTGTCCTCAAGGAACTTATTGGTTAGTGTAGGAGATAAGCACTAAAAGGTAGTTACACAAATAATTCTTAAACTATAGCTGTAAATTTTTGTTTTTTTTTTAATTGAGATACAATTCATAAAATTCACCCTTTTACAGTCTATAATGCAGTGGTTTTTAGTATTTTTACAGTTGTTTTTTTTTCTTGTTTTTTTTTTTTTTTTTTTTTTTGACAAAGTGGAGTGAAAAATTCAGTCTAATCTGTTGTCGTGTTTTTGGTACAACCACAAGCAATTGTTTTGACTACTCCCAACAGACTTTATAGCAGGTTGGCACTGCATTGCCTGTGGTCATTAATGTCATAAAAGATGGGTGGGAGGGGACATCAGAGGAGTTTCATTTAGATCAAATGTCCTGGAAGCTGACCTAAAAGAGAATTCTTTTGATGCATACGGACGGTTCTTACCCCAGATGTGCCAATGAAAACTATCTTCCCTGCCCCTAACTGAAACTTACTGGTCGTGTACAACCTCCACAGCATCCGGTAACTCCATGTTTCTAAGAATATATCCCAGAAAGGACCCAAACTCGAAGTAGAAGAAAGTCCGGAATTGACAACCCTCAAAAATCTACTTCATGTATATTCTAAAGCTAAAATACTAAATGCAGTGAAACTTTCTGCGTGATGCAGGTCAGCGGACTGTTTCAGGAAAATCACCACTTCTTGGTCTTCTTAATAAATTCATTTCATTTCATTTGAAATGTAAGACCCCTACATTTTCAAACACCTTGCAGGTCTATCTGATGGGGCCCATGTGGGAATTCAAGGGACCCAAGTTTGGTTTCTTGCTCTGCCCAACTTCTATCCTGCCTTCCTGTCCTCCTCTGAAGGTGGGAGTGATGGCACAAGTAGTCTCCCTTAAGGGATGCTGGGAAGGAGGCAGGGTAGATGAGGCAAAGCTGCTTTGTACCCAAACTACCTTTGTACCCAAACTAGCCGGTGGCCAAGCTCTCAGAAACCGGTCTGGGTAGCAGATGTCTGTCTATACAGAAGAAGTTCCAGGGGTACACCCCCTCCCCCGACAACACTGACTCCATCAGAAGATAGCTTTGTGGACTCACTAAGAAATCTGGAAGAGTAAATTAGTCTAAGTGTTGGAGAGTTTTGTGACAACCCAGTAAGACGTCACTATCAAAGGTGACATTCACGATTGTAGACACTTCAAGATAATGACACCCCTAATAATGTCTTCCACTTTCTGGTCTTACACAAATTGCAGAGCACCTTCATACGCCTTACCTGGTGAATTCTCATGTGTGCCTTGGGGAGGCAGGAAGGCTGTATTATTCCCATAGTTCAGATGAAAGAAAGACCCAGGACCCACAGAAGCAACTTGCTGGTGATGACAAAGGTGGCCCATCTGTCCTGTCTTTTCTTTCTCCCTCTTTTAAATGCTTGTCCACTTTTTCCATTGCACTCTTCTGTCATATTTTTTCCTATGCTTTGCTAATGATTGTCAGTTCCACTTCCGTTACTTAGTAAGACACCTGCTTGTGTAATTGCCAGATTAAAAGAATGTCATGAATACACCTGACAGTTAATGTTCACTAGTTCCCTTCTGCTCCATAGATTCCTGTGAGTTTGGATTAATTAAGTCGAGTTCTATTTTTGCCAGCAAGTGGGTGATCCTTTGGGTTGAATCAATAGCAGAGCTATCCCTGGGCTGTGATCAGAGATAGAGCCTCGGGAAAGCCTCAGTTCCTTCCCCCTTAGAGCATGGGGTGGCCATGCAGGGCTCCTAGATGTGAACAAGGTTGTGCACGAATTGCTCTTGACCGTATACCTGCATCATCCTCTGGTCCTGTTGCAGGTACATGACCGATGGCGGACTTGGCCTCTACACTCGTCGCCTGAATCGGCTGCCCGATGGCATGGCTGTGGTGCGGGAGACCCTGCAAAGAAATACCTCCCTGGGCCTCGGCGATGCTGACAGGTAATTCTGCTCCGCATGAGACTGACCAGGTGCAGAGATCATTACAGAGTGGCCTGAGAAGTGAGGGTGTGATATTGAGAGCAGACGGCCACTGCTGTGACCCATGCAGGGGTTGGGAGGCCTTGAAGCTGTGCCCGGGGTCAGGAGCTGGTGCAGCAGGTAGGCGAGCACTGCGGAAGATTCTGGAGTCCTGCTCCTGGTTAGGGTGGTGCTTCTGAGAGCAAAAAGAGAGGGAGTTTGGGCTCAGGGAGTTTGGGTCGTTATTTGGTGCTGCTATGGCATCTTTGTCGGCTGCCCAGGTCCCAGGGATCCACTTTACTTCCTCTGTCAGCCGGCTTTCTAGGTATGGTACCTTGGAACATAGTCCCTGGTGATGCACAGAGGGCCCGGGTGCCCAAGGGAGCGCTCCCGGCCTTGGTGAGCAGGCTTCACTGCGGGTCTCCTGCGGCCTGGCCCTGAGAAGCAAGGCTTGGGGATGTCATTTCTACTGCATGTGCTGAGATGCCGAAAGGCTAGCCCTTGCCTGTTCCTCGTCGCAGCCCCTGTCAGAGATGACAAGAGCTTCAGAAAACATTATCGTATAGAGGGCTGTTTAGTAACCCTGACTCTGGCACATAGAGTCTATGACCTTGAGCAATCCATTAAAGCAGGGTTCGAACTATATGATTTCCAGGACCCCTTCCAGCTCTGCTGTGCAGTGTTTCTAGATTTCAGTACCCTTTAGTGGTCTGACCATTGAAGGATTTTGCTGGCATACTTGACCTCTTTCCCCATGTGTGCTAAAGAGACCGAAAATGGAATTTAGATATGTGTGCTTGAGGCCACCAAACATTTTGGGGGTGCTAATTTTTTTGTGCCAGAAATCCGCATATTTGCAGCACAAACCCAGTTTCTTGCTGTTCTCTTAGCTGCATATACTTTTTGCAAAGAGCTAAGTGATGTCTGTGGTTCTCTGGCTTAAGAGAACTAGGGCATCCCCCCAGCAATGAAATTTGCTCAGGAGAAATCTTCATCGTCTCTCCAGGAAGGCCAAGAAGCTGTGCTAGTGTAGAGAACACTGAATCAGTTGTCAGAAACTTGGGACCTGGCCCGGGCTCTGCCACGAACTTGAATATGCCCTTCTTAGAGTCCGCAGTGTCCAGGGTGGTGATTTATGCCAGAGATGACAAAGGCCCATCGCCACCATGCCAGCTCAAGCCAGCCTTCTTCCTGGAATTGATTCATTTAAAAGGATTGGTTTGAGAATTCTGTATGAATTAAGTGAACCACTTAAGAACTGCTCTTTTTTTTTAATACTGCCCTTTTTTGAAAACTTTATTTATTTTTAGAGAGGGAGGGTGGGAGGGGCAGCAGAAGGAGAGGGAGAGAGAGAATCTCAAGGAGGCTCCACGCCCAGCAGGGAGTCCAGCACGGGGCTCATTCTCATAACCCTGAGATCATGACCCGAGAGACGGACACTAAGCAGCTCAGCCACCCAGGCACCCCAGAGAACTGCTTTTTCTAAGGATGGGGTTCTCTGTATCTAAACTCTTTAGAGGAAACATTATCAGGGAGAAAGTACATTGTTGTATCAACCCCACTGGAGATTTCAACAATTTGCCTAGTGATTTTGCTTATTTGTATTCTCCTGTAAACATGTCGCTGGTTAGTAAATCTATCAGCATGAAATTCAGGCTTTACAAGGTACATTTTCCCTTATAGCCGAAGAAGAATCTGTGTGAGGCAGTTTAATTTAATGCTTCATTGCAGGGTTAATGGAATTATAGATCACAGCTGGGCTTGTTCCTGCGTTTGGAGGTGGAGGATTGAGGGTGGGGGCTGGAGAGATGGATACTGTTTATTATGTTGTCCAGCTCAGCCTCTCTGATGGGACTAACTGGACAGTGGTATCTTCTGGTTCTCCCCAGACTGGAATGCTCAGATGTGATCATTTAAAACTGAAAGGATAACTGACCAGTTTTGTTTTTTAAAGATTTTATTTATTTATTTGGCAGAGAGCACAAGCAGGAGGAGTGGCAGGCAGAGGGAGAAGGAGAAGCAGGCTCCCCACCAAGCAGAGAGCCAGATATAGGGCTCGATTCCAGAACCCTGGGATCAAGTCCCACATCGGGCTCTCTGCTTCAGCAAGGAGCCTGCTTCCTCCTCTCTGTCTGCCTCTCTGCCTACTTGTGATCTCTGTCTGTCAAATAAATAAATAAAAAATAAAAATAAAAATAAAATAGGATCTGATAATGCTTATAAATCTCCTATTTCATATAAGTTTTAACCTGTAGGCAGTGAGATATTTTACATTTTTCTAGAATATGTTAAATTTTATTCATCTCTAAAGTTATTATAAATAGACCATAGAAATGCTTCATCTTTGGCAAAGTTGAAATTGTAGTAGATTTGTGACTATAAAGTTCTTCATGCAAATCTTTTCCAAAAACTGTATTCTAGATGAGTATTTCCCGAAGAGGGAGGCTAACATTAGTGGTATAGGAAATAATTTTAGATAGCAGACAGGGAAATATTTCTTTTACATTTTAATTGTAGCATTTAAAAAAGTGTATAGCTAGTACATCAAACCCAAGATTTTATAAATATTGTTTCAGGTAGAGAATAGCATTGGCATGAGACAATTTAATGTGAAATATCAAAGGAGAATGCCACAGATGGTGTGCAGGTATTTTTTTAGAAGGTAGTATGCAAATGGCTTCAGACAAGGTAATCCTATTCTTGTCCCTATAATGAGAAACGTGTTCTTTAAATTATTGAAATTAGACAAGTGAAAAAAAAAAATACAAAAAAACGCAGCACCTTTCCAGAATTCTTCCCTTTTAAGCTGAAGAAAGAAGGTCCCAGAGTTGAGAAATTTCTAGGAGGTTCTTTATGAAATAGACAGCCCAGTCCTTAAGGGTTCACACACAGGCTGCAGACTACATGAGGGCTACGAAGGAAATAGGAAAAGTACTGAGGGCCTGATGAGACGTCAGTTGAGAGAAGGGGACTGTAGGAAGGGCAGATCACCTCACGGCGCCCACAGGAAAATCATTAACCTCAGCGGGCACAGCTTGGAAGCTAGAGCTCTTCCAGGGGGAGGCCCGGAAGGACACTGACCTACCAAACGGAGCATGGCTGTTTGCAGCAGGACGTGGCTGGGGTATCTTCAGGGCTATTAAAAGGAACTGTTAGGAATATGTACCTTCAGAGCCTGAGAGATAGGGACCCTGTCGGTCTGTGAGTCCTGTATGTCACCAGCCGGTGTCTGAGAAGTAAGAAGGGAGGGTAGTAAATCCACAGTGCCAAGTCTGCCTTTGATCTGCTGTCACTCTTCGGGGTTGCCACTCCTGGGTTCCAGTTTTTACCTGATAGTCATCAGTGGCCAGCCGGCAGAGGGGGCAGGATCAAAAAGGACAAATGGAGGTGGCTTGTTCCAAGTCGCAGGCCCCAGATAACAGGCAAATACAGAGAGGTTCAGCATATAAGGCCCTGAGTTGGCAGCCTGGGAGGAGGAAGAAATAGGCCCCGGGGAGCTAGGAGGCCAGCCTCGCAGACCGTCAGATGGTTTGTTAAACTCCTGCCAGTTCCTGCATGCTGTCCGCTCAGGACCCATCAAAAGTTCTTGAACTCCCGAGAGCTGAGTGCTTTCAAAGTGTAGAGTTCAGCTCTGGGAAAGCTTCCATTCCCAGGACGCTGTCTGTGACCTGGGCAGCATCGCCCTGCTGCTAGGGACCCTCGCTGACATCCCGGACATGCAGGTTGAGGTTACTTCGAAATGGTGTCCCCTGGTCACACAAGTGTCACTGATGGTGCACGCAAGGACAGAAATCAGGCCCGTTGCGCACATTTAGGTCGGGAGGAGGGCGTTGGAATGACTCGGTTACTTTCTTCTACACCATTAGAATATTTATTGACCTCCAGTGGCTCCTATTAACTGAAGTGGTGGTAAAAATAGAGCAGAGCGAATGCTGTGTGGTGAAACGTCAGCCTGAGACCTGAACCAAACGACAGTGGCCCTCTGATGTCATGCCAAGAAACCAAGCAGGAAAAAGAAACTGTTTCTGTTCCTTCTTGTTACGGGGTTTTCATTGCCCTGCAAGCTCTGAATGTTTTCGGTATTGAGATTGCATTTGGAAAATGAGGATTCACAGTCATCCTACAAGCTTTACCCAAGTCCCTGGCTGGGGCCCTGACCTTGGGCCCAGAGCTGTCCCAGTTTCAGCTTGAATTAAGAGTCCCATGGTGTGTTGATATAACTATGCAACTGGTATTTCTCCAGCCTGCCGGGCCCAGTCCTCCTCCTCACCAGGAATGTCACAAGATGTCCAAGGGCCCAGGGCACTGCCGGGCTTTGGGATTTGTGTGGATGGAGGCGGCCTCCTGGCACCCCGCTGTGTATTCACCGATTCAGGCCTGACCTGCAGGGAAGAGTTGAATCCAGGCCCAAGGTCCCTAGCAGCAGACGACATTGGTGGGAGCCCTTACCAGGTAGTAGGTCCCCAACCCAGGTGTTCCTTAGACACAGCCCCTGCTGAGGTCTGCAGGTGAGAGGAAGCACAAATGGGAACCACTCCCTTGCCCTCCCTTCCAAGCCCAGGGCAGACAGGGTAATGATCCCACAGTGTCCACAGCCTAATCCCCAGAACCCGGGGGTGTGTTACACCACAGGGTGGGGAGTAGGAATCACAGTTGCTTATCAGTCAGTGTTTAGATAGAGAGATTAGCCTGGATTATCCTGGAGGGTCAGTGTGATTACCCGTCCTTCAAAGTAGAAGAGGTGGGCCGGGAGAGCAGGCAGAGCACTGAGCCGCAAGGACTCCCCTTGCCCTCTGGCTCTGAAGGTGGAGGGAGGGGCCCCAGCCAAAGAGTGCCTGTGGCCTGTCTAAAGGGGGCAGTGCGAGGGGACAGACCCAACCCCAGAGCCGTGGAGTGAGGGCGGTCCTGCAAACACCCTGCTTTCAGTCCAGGAGACTGAGTTTGGATTTCTGCCTCACAGACCTGATAGTCCATTTGTGTTG